ATCGTGTGAGGGCCTTGCACTCCACTTCCGAGTGCATATTTGAGCCGTAGTTCCCGCAAGCTGGAGCGCGGGAGCATCCGTGGCTGGCGTGATAGCCAAGACAAAGTTTGCACTGTTCGAGTTGGGAACGAGGTCGGAAGAGCTTCGCAGCTCCAGAATCGTCGAAGAGGCGGAATCCAGGTCGGGGCGTGGACTCGCGAGGAAAGAGGGCTTGCCAGTTCTCGTATGGCGCCCCAGGCTTGCAGTACCCGTGCGGACGGACAAGAAACGGAACCGATTTCGTCACTCGCGTGACTTCGTCAGCAACCACCTTTGCCGTGATCTCGATGGGACCTGCAAGTGTGTTTATTGTCACCGGTACGGTGGCAATTTGCAAGGCAGCCAGATTTGACGCTGGTTCCAGTATGATTCCAGATTCGCTCCGTGACATGGAGGAATCTAGGAGCTCTTTCCGAGCGAGTTCATTCTTTGCTGTCAGTGCAAAGCCTGTTATGACCCGCTGAACCAACGTGATGTCGTCGGTAGCGGTACCAAGCACCTGTGACACAGCTAATCTTACGCCAGCTGGTGACAGGAGTCGGTGGGGGTGGTTAGCTTTGAGGCGTAGAAAAAGTCTCACGTCGACTTTTGTCCTCGGATTGGCACTTTTTGCTTTTGGGGCGGGCGGTGCTGCCTTTGTAGTCGATGGCCCGGCACTGCGGCCTAGACCTGCACGGGCTACTATGGCCCAAGTTGTCTTTTGGGCCGGAGCCTGGGTTGTCGTAGGGTTAGGTACCCTAATTTCATGAGCCCTCGGCGGAGGAAGGTTGATGGGGCGCGCAGGGAGAGTTGGTGGAGTGCTCCCTGGGCCTGATTGTATGAACTGGCCAATGGCCGCTCGAAGGTAGACTTTGATGCCGTCTACAAACTCTTTTTCGTCGCCAATCGAGAGAGGCGAAAGTGCTGCTTCAACACTGCTTATTGCAGTGGAACAGATTGATAAACGGGCCTTAATTTGCGTCGTGCGACGCTTCTCGGCCTCCATCACTGATTGCAGCTCCGGCGGATATTACGGTGCTGATGTCGAAGCTGTGCCTTTTGGAGTTGGCATAGTGAATTTTCTTGCAGATGTTTCTGCTTGTTCTGTCGTCTTCTCTCGGACGACTTCCTTTCCTTGAACTGCTCGCCTCGGGGGCCAGCTCGGCGGGTTTCGTGGTCTGTTGACCATTTGTTTCTGTTCTGATCGGGTCAGAATCAGTCATCTCTTGATCGGGAAGATTTGGAGACTTCCCAGGGATAAAGGCCTCACTCGCAAATAGGCTTGATAATTTTTGCGCGAGGCCAGGTGTTTTTGCAGGAGCCCTCGGGCGGACTCTCGCGTTGTCCAACATTGAGTTGGGGAGCTTTTTTCGAACAGGTGGCATGACGAAAATGCCAGTGACTCGATTACAATTTATTGAAGGAATGCGACGAACGCGAGATGGGGGGAAAATGGGAAAATGGGAATTTTCGAATTTCAAAAAAATTGTGTGTGAGTGCGTGGGTTTTTATTGTACTACTTGAGTCTATGACCATCTAGCACATTGGGCTCTTCTCTGGCCCAGGCCACACCTTGTACAGTGCTCCTTGCCTCTTTTGTTACTTGTAAGATCATTGATATATTGGCCGTGATGAATAGCAATTCAGCTCAGTGTTTACCCGTGGAATTCGGCCACCTTTTCCACGGAACCTTCTACCTAAAAAAATAAATATGGTAGCAATGGAAACTGCGTGCGCGAGAATTAGTCTCGGAAAACCTGCAGCCCCAGTCAGGCGAGGCCTAGACACTGGGACCACATGAGGTGCGCATATTGATTTATATCTCCCTTTTTTGTAAAAGTCGAGGTCGGCTTGATCCAATCCGCCATCTCCGTATCGGGTGCTGGGTACGCTCCGGAAACTCATCGGATGGCTTCTCCTCCATGATCAAGGGTTGGTGACAAGTAGGGCTCCGACCCTACCATCTGATCTGATCGTGGTTAGCTTCATGATAGTGGTGATAGGGGAATGTGTTGAGAGATGAAGACGATACAGACCGCGCAAGCGATTGGGAATCCTCTTCGAAGTGAGGACTTTGTTACTCAATCTTAGCTCTGCAGACTCTACAGTGAGAGCTGGAGGTTCGTAGGGGATACCACTGATAGGTGTTTAGAATAGTCCCCCTGCAAACTTGCGTGTACCTCAGAGAATTCACACTCTGCCATTCTAGCCGCCTTCCCAAAGGTCGTGCTGAAATGTCAGAAAAGTCTTGACAGAGCGTGATCGGATTGAAACTCCTAAACATTATGGGAGATTTTCAGTGCCCTGCATCTAATCGGCTTGCTAATTATTGCCTACCTGCGATACGTATTTCCCGGATACGCTTTGACCCTCCAGTCGAACTTTGTTCAGCGTAATATTTATCACGGTTAGAAATCAATCCGAGTTCGCCAATCTTTTTGTTTTTTTTTCATTGGACAACGCTAGGACGATATATGGTGTGATGACTCTCGCCTCATCTGGGCGGGAAGCTCGCGAACTGACAAGGCAAATATTGACGGACGGGTGGGACTCGAATCGCCCAAAAATTACGCCAAATTTGAACTCGAGATACGGCGCAAGAAACCGCCAGAACTAGCGCTACCGAGAGGGGTCTACGCCCGCTTAATCGCCGCTCGAACTGGAAATGGAGACTTTGCGGCATATCATCGCCACTTCAATCACACTGATGCTACACTTTACTGCTCGTATGGGAGGCAAAAATTAATTGGTCACCTTGTCCACTGTCTAAAAGCACTGACCACATGGCGGCTCAAAAGCCGAAAGCGAAGGGTGCCGGCCCTGGAAACGATGCTCGGATCAAGTGGATGGCAGCTGTTTAGGGACTACGTCCAGAAGAGCGGAATATACGTGAAGTCTAGTCGGGGGGTGGCAGGGATACCTGTGACTTGGAAGTTATAGATCAGAAGCCTAGGTGGTTTGGCATGGAAGGAGGGATTAGAATCGAGGCTCAGGCGCGTGGTGACTGAGGCAGAACGATGGAAGGGAGATTGTCTAAAATTTTCTTTTGTTGTGCGGGATTACGCGAGGAAGTTTTTCGTTTGTTTTCAATCTGGGCTGCTGAACTCGTCATTGTTCAACACATAGATGCGTTTTGGCATGGTTCCGGTCATTTAGGTGGGACGAGGCACTTGTACTGTACGGTAGTTGACCTGATCCGGCCCGACCCCGCCCGTGCTTAGGCTCCAGTAGGAGTGCGACGGGAGTCGATGTACCTAGCACGTTAATGAACAACCAACCAACCAGCTGTCCGCCACTCTGACTTTCAATTTAAATGTAGCAAATTTCCCTCTACCAGGAACTTTACGTGTGATTTACAAGTAGTTTAAGCTTACGCGCGTAGGCTGTACAATGAACTAAGATAACGCTACGAAGGAAGAGATTGTGAGTCCTTCCATCCAACAATAGTTTACCACAAGATACCTTTTTTCACAGAGGGGATCTAGTGGGCTTGTTGAACTCCATCGTAGAACTTCGTCTGCTCGACCCACTTTCCGACGGCAAGTGTGGTCTCGGGCGTGCCGAGTATCCATCTGGTGCCAGGGTGGGGATGTCGAGGCGTGGGTATGCATGCGCACTTAATCTCTACACCTCATGCTCGATTGGTAACACGTATTGCTGTCTCAGACTGCACTGTTTAGGCCTCGACACAATGGATTCAACTAGATTCATGGATGAGCGAGAGGGTACACGTGGAGGACGGTGAAGTGGTGAAGCTTTGACTGAGTCGCCGACGGCTCGTTGGATGTATAGAGCGGCCTCGTCCTGAAATAGCAAGAAGCTGAATCGTGACATGCTTAGCATGAGGTGTGAACGTACCAGGTGCATCTCATTAGCAATTAATTCCGCATTGACTTCATGACCATATATACCCTCGTGGGGTAGTGCCAGTCCGTCGATCGGCCCGCTAAGGCAGGTCGAGATAATGAGAAACACGAAAGTCGGTGAACGACCTCACAAATTTGTATACTCTTCATCGCTTCTGACTACACGACTGAATCATTGCCATTTCCTCTGGCTCATTAATCACTTCTGCTTTGGCCGACGTGCCAACGCGGCCGCATCCTATGAATACAAGACTGATTAATCCATACAGTCCTGGGAATCGCGGCAGTATTTCACTATCCCAAACTCACTTGAGACTTTGGATAAAATCTACTTTAATCTGGGAACGGCGTTTGGACGAGAATAGCAACTGCCTCACAGGCACTGGTAATACGCAAGCAGGCGGCCCTATGATACGTTGCTATCCCGAAAACTGGGGCTTTCAGGTCCTTACTCGTCTTCTTTGTCATTACCTTTTCACAATGTGGACACTCATGCACGAGATCAAGGATTTTCCAATCACTCAAATTTCCACTCGTCTATACTCAATGTAAAGACACTGACTACATGTTGTAATCTCATGCTATTCCAACTTGAATTAAAATTAATGCTCAAGTGGCCATGGGAAATGTTAGCAATTGACCACCTAACAAATAAATCTATTATTCTCTCATCTCCGGCTCTCCTCAAAAATAAGGCCGACCCCTCCCTTGATACCAAGCAGTTCACGCCTCAGTCGTTCGAACCAGTGCCAGTACTTAGCCGTCGTCCTTGGTGGACCTAATAGAACCAAGCAGCGTCTGATGGTGTCGATTCCTTCGCTCGAATGGCAATCCTTTTTCATTTGAATGAGCCGCGTCATCAGGTTTTCTTTTAATAGATGTCAGGTACGCAGAAATCTATTATATTCATGCTCTTGGAGTTTTTGGATTCCATAAGTATGGCTTTTCCCTCCTCCTCATTCAAAAATCGCACTACCCGATAAGCTACACCATTGACGTTGAATCCATCTTCATCTTCCGACAATCTTCGTGTCGTTGTTCAGCCGTCCAAAGCAGAAATATCGTGGCCATACACTTCTGAACCAGAATAATACCAAAGTCGAGAAAGTTTTCACAATGCAGCTCCTCCGTTCAGCCTTAGTTTTCTCGCTCTCGATGCTTTCAGTCTCAGCCATCAACATCACTGGTGTATTTAGGTGCCCTGGTCTTGCAGATGACGTGAAAGCAAAAGAAGTGGTAGAGAAAGTTGACAGTATTACCATTAAAACGGAGAAGACAGATTGGTATAACTTCGAAGAGAATGGCGTTAAATATCAATATCACCACCTCTTTATGCAAGATGATCCTAAAGGTCTGTTGCTTTTGTCACAAACACAATTAGGAGCTCCCAAAACTAATGTAGATCAGACTCTAAAGATATTATGATTGCGGTGAATGAAGACAAAAGTTTGGTAAAAGTTAGCATCTTTCATGGTGGTATATATTCGGAGTGCCTGCATATTCCGGCAGAAGACACAGAAAACCCAAAGGGCATGGCTTCAAAAGGGAGTGTCTCACGAGTCCAGAGGAAATGAAAGCGGAGTGAGAGATAGATATTTAAACCTCATTTAATAGGGATTAAAGATAAATAATGAAAGGTTTACAAAAATTTTCTCCATCTATCTAGCATATGTACCAGAGCAAACTATTTGATTGAGAGCCAGAGATAAATTTGTCACAATTTTTTGATCCTGACTTGGTGTCCTATGGGCTTTTCCGAGTGTCCATTAACTTAAAGGTTTAGCTAGGAAGGAACTTGTGGGTAGAAATACCTAATCCTTTGTGTTCGATGTCTTTGGTTTAACTTGCTGAACTTCAAGAAGCGTAGTTACATTATAGATCCATTCACAAACACTGTTCTCATCTTGCTAGTTACTTCCAACGATTCCTAGCGTAGCCCTTTTCCTCCAGCTTGATTTCGCCTGCCCATGCCATGTAGAATGATATCGGAAGTATTGCTTAGTCATCTTGTAGTCTCGTAGCATGAGTGAAGTCCACTTAAACCTCCAAACCTGACACATGCACATCGATCTCTATGAATCCGTCCATCGATGCAATCTCTTTATGCCATGTCTTGCCCGTCCTGTTGCATGGGACTTTACATCTTTTGATCACAATCATGGGCTCAAAAATGTATTTATACTTTATCCATAGGGGAGAATATCTATGATGCGCGCGCCACATGTTTTATTCCCATCGAGCGCGCTTTGGTTCTTAGTCGGAGCCGGATAGTTCCGGATCCACATACAAGGCTACAGCCTGTAACACCTTTATTCTCACCATTGCGGTTCTTCTTTGTCTGACATCCTAGAAGAAGGCCTAGTTGTTGATTTACTCAAGACTCGAATCAAGTACTCTGTCCCATTTCGGCGTCACTTGAATGTGATGTGATGTTTTCATGGTACCACTTGAGTCATAGACTATCTAGTACTGTTTGGATTCTTAGTAGCCTATGGTACTTTGATACCTTAGGCAGTAAGGCTAAATATGGCGTGCACGGGCACCTACGTGAATGCTGGTATGTTTCCCTCACAATGTAGGTGGATTAGAGACAACCAATACACAACCATTTTACACCAGTATTCAAGCAAATGCTAGAACCATAGCCACTGGGTGCTTCCAACCAGTACATTGGGCTCCTCTCTGACCCAGCCCATACCTTGTTCAATGCTCCTTGCCTCTTATGTTGTTTGAAATATCATTTATATATAGCCCGTGATAAATAACCATTTAGCTCAGCACTTACCCATAGAACCGTCTGCCCAAAAAAATATCAATGGTAGCAATGGAAACTGCGCGCACGGGAAAAAGTCACCAAAATCCTGCAACCCCAGCCAGGCGAGACCTAGAAACAAATCTTCATGGCTAAATAGCTGAATACAATAAGAATTTTGAAAAAAATAATGAGAGGCCTAGACACCGTGACCATACTAGGTGCGCATATTCATCTATATCTCCCTTTTTTGTAACAGTAGAGGTCGACTTGATCCAATCCACCATCGCCGTATTGGGTGCTGGGTACGCTCCGAAAACTGATCAGATGGATTTTCCTCCATGATCAAGGGTTGGTGATGAGAAGGGCTCCGACCCTACCATCTAATCTGATCGTGGTTAGCTTCATGATAGTGGTGATAGGGGGATGTGCTTAGAGATGAAGGCGATACAGACCGCGGAAGCGATTGGGAATCCCCATCGATGTGAGGACTTCGTTACTCAATCTCGGCTCTGTAGACTTTCCAGTGCGAGCTAGAGTTTCGCAGGGGATGCCACTGACGGGTGTTGTAAATAGTCCCACAAATGAAATCCAGAGTTTGACTGTGTCTCTAACGTCAAAAGAGTCATGCATCATGTATTTATAGCAACGGTCATGTGTCAAAGCTTTACAGCTGAATTTAAATTTAATAATTTAAATAAAAAACACCAGCACGGGGTATACGCATTCCACGTTCGCCAAACACCAGTTAGTCGGGATTGTTTATTATCGAGCCTAGCAGGATCGACAAAGTATATCCCGACGTAGAAATAATAGAAGGCTCAACAACCAAATCCTTCATTAACAACTGGCATTAACCATCACCTGACTTATCTCTCTACTCCGCATTTTCAACTGAGGATTACATATTAGCAGGTTCTTTAACAGAAATTATTAAAAAGTTTAGGATTAACATACTTGCTTCATCGTATTGTAGAAAATATTAATACGGCGAAAGTGATAGCCCTAGTGTCTTATCATAGCCATAAGATCGTTAAACCACCAGATTAGTTTACCATTCGACTTGTGGCTGTCAGCACGAAATTGATGAGGCTAGTCGGTAGCTTGATACTTTCTTCCATACTCTTGCATCTGAGCTAGCTCTTGCTGCATTCCCATACATCCGAGCCCGTCAATTATGTCTTCGAGTGTAAGAATCGCCAAAATTGGTATATCGTACTCTTTCTTGAGTTGACCAATCGCACTCGGCATCAGCAGGTCTTCATCGCCGTTGGAAGCCGCAATCTTCTCCATACGGTCCAGAGCAACCACAATTCCGACGACATGGCCGCCCTCTTGTCTAATCCTCGCGATTGCTTCCCGCTTGGCGGTGCCTGCCGTGACAACATCGTCGACAATCAAAACCCTCTTGCCTTTCAGTGGCGCACCAACTATAATTTTGCCCTCTCCATGGTCCTTCGCCTCTTTACGATCAAAACTGTAGCAAATTTTACTGTATTTGACTGGATCTAACTCTGCTAGTCGGGCTACGGTGGCAGTTGCAAGAGGGATTCCCTTGTAGGCGGGGCCAAAAATTATGTCAAACTCCGGAAGAGGGCCTGATGAGCAAGCGTCCAAGATTGTCAGTGCGAAGGCCGTTGAGAGGGCGCGAAGCAGGTCTGCTCTGTGAAACTCTCCTGCATTAAAGAAGTATGGAGACGCTCGACCAGATTTCAACTTGTAGGTGCCAAACTTCAAGACCTGGCCTTCTAGTGCGGCTTTAAGAAACTCAAGCTTGTATTGGTTCGATTTTGATTCAAGCATGACTGGTCACTTATAATCTTATCTAATTAAGGTTAATGTCTAGACTTTGTGGCAAAGGATGAGCACGGCGGGGTACCAAGTGACATACTGAAAATTAATATAGCTTACGTGATGAACCCTATGTAGGTAGATAATACGGCTTAGAATAGAAAAACTGTTGGTATTGATGTGTCAATGGCAAATTAACGGTTGTGAGATAAATATCAGGTACAGACAGTTCAGATCTGGATACAAAAAAAATTCGAATTGTGCAGCTTCATATTCGAGGGGTATGGCTTTATAACTAATCTGTCTATATGCCAAGATTCTTAGTTATGAAATTATATTTTCTGGAGTGGGGACGACTAAATGTGGGGGACAGTTATAGCCTAACAGTCCCACTTCTCTAATACGAACTCTGGCCTAATCCTTTTTTTATGTAAGATTTTAATATTGTACGTAGCTATCTACCTATGACACAATATCAGAAATATAGTACAAAAGAAATGACTCAATTTAAAGATGGAGCCCTCGTGCCTCATATTACCTTTGCAAGTACCGCTGCGAAGATATTATGACCTTTTCTTTATCCAGAAACAGCTCTCATTCGTGAATACCCAACTGTGACAAATCCTGAGAAACCATGAATTATCCGAACTTGCCTCAGTCATCCATTGACTACTCTCCGCGCGAGAGTGTCATATGCATGTTAAGGCTGAAAGGCTGATACTTAAGGTGGATCTATTTGACCCCTTTTGGTACGAGATGGAGAGATATGGATAGATATGCGCACCTCATGTGCCTCCGATATCTTGACTTTTTTTTTGCATCAGATTTTAATTGCGTATGTAACTATCTAGCTACGACACAATATCAAAGAAAAGTACAGAATAGATAATTCAATGTAAAGGAAGAGCACTCATGCCTCGGATTTCATTTGCAAGTACCACTGCGAAGATATGGCGGCTTTTTATATCTTGACTCTCTCAGGTTGAGGCTACACATTTTTGGTAAATTTTCTCGTGACCCAGTCTCTGCGCTATCTTGCATTCATTTTTTTGGATATTATTTTCCGAGGAATAGGTGGCTAAGCACGATGGGTAAACACTGAGCTGCATGGCTATCTACCATGGGGATTATCTTGGATATACTTTTTCCTGACGAAAGAGGATAGGAGCTTCGCGTGAGAGGATGCAGGACAAGTCAACAAGATGATGCGAAGGATTGATTCAGTCTCGACGGGCGTAGAATTTTGGCAAGGAATTTTTACAAATTGAGCTTTGTGCATGCCAAGACTTCGGTTGCCAGAGTGCAGGCTACACTATAAACACCGCCATGGCTGGATGGTGCGGTGGTACATCGTCTTGGCCGGTATACCAAGTAAGGTCTGGATAGCTTGCACACATATCCCACTTGAGACAGTAGATCGCTGGTTCGAATCCGGCAAAACACAACCATATTTCTCGCGGCGCTAGTTTGCATGGATAACCATAGGTTTTGAAACGTCCCATAAGTGGGTACCCACGGAGGAGGGTCGACTGTTTGTGTAAGCAAGCATACCTCATAGTGGTATTTGCAAATAAAATCCAGAGAATGAGTGTCTCTAACGTCAAAAGAGTCATCGAACATATATACATAGCACCGGTCATGTATCATAGCTCTATAGCTGAATACACATTAAATGATTTAAAAAAAGAAGAATCGGTCATCTCCATTACCTGTATTGTGCTGTCCTGTGTATTGCCTGTACATGAGATTGAATAATGATCTTTAAACAAAGTTTTAGCATCTATAATTTACGATAGGGAGAGAGTTGACATACAACTAACGGTTGAGTAGTTATCAAGTTCAAACGATAAGATTTCATCAATAGTTACTCCCGGGTCATGGTAGTTCTTTGCCGTATTTACATTCCCTTTGGAACTAATATTTACAGTTTTCTCAGGGATTTCGAAGCCACATGGGCAGAAATAAATCATTTTTGGAGAGCCCGTGGCAAAGAGACCGAGCATAGAAGCAGACAGGACAGAGTAAAGAAGCTTTATGATGACGCTGACTTATTGGGGAATTTACCCTTGTTACAATGTGTATAACGAGTGGGTTTTTGTGACTTAGAGAGTTGAATCAAATTTGACCCAAGTTTGAGCAGGGTTGAATGTTGGATACGTTCTTTTTCAAAGGTGCGAGGTGTGAGGAGATGAAATAAACACGGAGGCATCAGTTCCTTTAGTACTTGGATTTTTTAAATCTTTAATTTCAGGACAATCAAAAGTCCATATTTGGTCTGCGTGGATAGAATACACCTAAATTGCCACAAGCCATGGTTAATGAAGGAATATTCAAATGTAATAAGGAAATAATGACCCCTCAGTCATTGAGGCTGTAGAGCGCATTGATTCATGTAATTACCGAACTGAAACTAACTACAGAATTTGCAGTCACGTGTGTATCAACAACGTGGCCTACTTGATAGCCCCAATTGTTCTAAATTCTAACAAAATGAATGATAGCAATCTGGTACGTTCAAAGATTGTTGACTGAGCCAATTCTCTTAGATACTTTTTTTTTGCATCGGATTTCAATTGCGTTTGCAGCTATCTAGCTATGACACAAGATGAGAGAAGTGTATAATAAATGACTCAATTTACAAGAGGAGCACTCATGCCTCAGATTTCATTTGCAAGTACCACTGCGAAGTTATGGTAGTTTTTTCTTCACCCCAAGTCAACCCTCATCAATGAATACTGTAATGAGTAGCCTAGCATAGCACGTGATCTTATGTATATATCCTTAGTGTTGGGATATTGAGAAAGTATAGTCACGGGAGTAAGATAATGCAGATAGTAATATACGATATGTGAGGAATTGTATAGATGTAGGACTAAGGGTGTGTAGTGATAAAGGTGTTATGTACTAATGATGTGGACACCTTTCACTTGACCAACTAGCTGACTAAGCAGCATTTCCTGACACGCCCCCATGCTGCGATATCCTAGAGCCTCATTAACTTCCACAACACTTAAAAAGTGTGACCCCTACATCTCTTCTTAAAGAGTTCAGTAGTCCTACAGAAAAATGAAACTGCATTGTGGTACAAGAGTACTCTTATCCTGGTTCCATCATGATCTGCTGTGTGAACTTCTGTAGTACTAATATCGCCCATACCATTCGTTCAGCGTTTAATGAGATAAGCCTAGCTCAGACGATAACTTTACAAACTGGTCCCTGGGTAACTGTTTTGTTAATATATCTGCAATCTGTTCAGTACCTGGTGTAAATGTGACCATTAGCCTGTTTTTCATCACCATGTCGTCTCGTATGTAGAAGTGCCTAATTTCAATGTGTTTAGCTCTTCGATGAAATTTGGTGGTTTTAGCAAGCTCTATTGCAGCCTGATTGTCTAGATGTAGAAGCGGAGGTTTCGTTATTTTGACGTTTATGTCATGAGCAATTTTCTCCATTCAGGCGATTTCTTTAGCTCCTTCACTAGCAGACATGATCTCTGCTTCCATTGAGCTCTGAGCTGTGCTTTTCTGACGGTTAGCGGACCAAGTTACTGCGCCCCCATTCCATATGATTATTTGCCCTTGGAATGATTTCTTATCATTTTCGGTACCCCATGTTGCATCTGTCCATGCTGCCCAGATATTTGTTGTAGCGGCAAATCTATATTTAATCCCGAGCGACCTTGTACCGTTGAGGTATCTGAGTAGATGCTTTGCCATACTTAAATGGTTTGAATCGGGATCAGACATAAATCGAGCAAGTTGTCCTACGGCATAAGATATGTCTGGCCTTGTACCATTAGAAATATATAGGACAGATCCAACAATTTGTCGATAGAGGCAGATGTCATCATCTTTGAGCGTTTGATGGATATCATCTTTGGTAGATGGGCTTAGGACTGTTCCTGCTGGGAGTGGGAGATCCTTAGGTATACTTTTCTCCATTCCCAGCCGCTGAATAAGTTTTGTTGTATAGGCAGTTTGATGAATGCGAAGTGTGCACTTCTGCCTATTTCTTTCCACTTGAATTCCGACGAAAGTGTCAACTGGTCCTAGCGCTTTGCAACTCCATTTATTCATGATGTCTGATTTGACGGAATTTAAATTTCCATGTTTCCCAATGATTAGCATATCATCTACATAAAGAAGTACGAAGACACCTCTACCTATAAATAAATTTGGATCAGCATCTCCACTCTTTAAAGATATTCGATTAAAGTGATCTTTGACTTCTTTGAACCAAATATGCGGGGCTTGCTTTAAACCGTATAGTGATTTGTTAAGTTTGAGGTAATTTTCCTTTTGATTGATTCCAGGGTGTTGTAACGAAAAGAAATCAGGTATCTCCATATAAATCTCTTCTTCTAATTTTGGATTTAGAAAAGCTGTATCCACATCAAGCGCTTCAATTTCAAGATCGTCTACTGCAGCCTTTGATAGAAGTATCCGGAGTGTGTTGTACCGTATTACCGACGCAAAAGTCTCGAAGTAATCGATACCGTACTGCTGTTCAAATCCACGGACAACGATTCGTGCTTTTCGTCTGTCTAAGCTACCGTCACTTCTGAACTTCTTTCTAAGAACTATTTTGCTGGATATTATTTTCTTTCCAGGAGGTGGAGACCCAGTCAAAATCGTATATGTGTTGGTGGCTTGCAGAGAGCGCAATTCTGATTTTATTGCCTCTTTCCATAATTTGGGATCTTCATGCATGGCCTGTTCAACAGTGATAGATTCAAATGGAGGAGTGGGCACTTGAATCGATGACGACTCACCGGCATTAATATGGACTGCTTGTGCAGAAATAGCATTTGCTGTAACGACATGATTGAACACAGCTTTCGCCACTCTTCTCAGCGGTCTGCCAAATTTTGATTTAGGCGGGGAGCAAGGAGTCTGCCCAATCGATGGTTCGATGGCTTCTCGGATAATCTGAGGAGTACTTTCTTTGAAGTTCATTCGCCCTCCTAGATATTCTTGCTCTACTACCCTCATGGTGGCCTCTTCCACTACTGCAGTAGGATGACTAGCCTCGACCATGGGTTCGCGTGAGAGCTTCCTCCACGCGTTCTCGTGGCAGCTTCCTTCACGTCTTATTACGGGAGTCTGTAGCTCTACCGAACCTATGTAGGTCTCTTGCTCGTCCATTCTAATGGGAGCCTTCTGTATATAGCGTTGATCAGACGCATCTCCAGCCTCTCGCGGGCGAGTTACAGGATTTTGCAATTCAGAGTCATTTTCGCCCGAACTCATTGCCTCAATTGGGCGAATTGCAGCGTACTTCTTACGCGCTTGCTTAACACCTTTCTGCCTAGCTTCTATCAGCTGCGGCTGGTACATCTTTGTTCGCTCTAAAGGTACTTGTCTAGGTGTTAGCACATCTGGTCTATCAGATAGAGTAAAGAGTGAGATGTCAATTTTAGGGAATTCATATTCATTGAACTCAACATCTGCAGAGATTGTGTCTCTTAGGGTAAGCGTATCAAGTAGCTTCCAAATTTTTGTCGAAGTCATTCCTATCATGATGAATTTTCCTTCTCTAATGTGAGGTTGCCATTTCTGAGGAATTAACTCGGAAGGGTAAAGCACATCTGCTTTGCACCCGAAAACTCTGATGTTGGTTAGATCTGCAGGCTTTCCATGGTATGCGCTGTAGGGAGTGAATTTTTCTGGGGCGTCATTATCAGCAAAAGGTAGTGCGGATGTGGGAGCCCTGTTCTTGATCCAAGCCGCATGCTCGACAGCGTAATCCCAGAGCTGGTGAGGTAGCTGTGCCTCATATAACATAGACCTTGCTATAACTGCTATAATACCCATCCATCTTTCAACAACTCCGTTCATTGAGTGTTTGTATGGTGGGCTTGGTTCAAATTTTATACCTACTTCTTTCAAGTAGTGTTGAAGGGCAGTACCAAATTCACTCCTGCCGTTGTCAGCCCTCATGTAGACAATTTTATTGCCAGATTGCAATTCAGCTTCGGCCTTTATTTGCTTGAATGTGACTAGAACCTCATTCATTTCTTTCGTTCTTAGTAACCTGACCCAGCACATCCTTGTTGCATCATCTACCATGAGGAAGTAGAACCGATATCCTCTAACTGAGATGGACTGGATTCCTGAGATATCGCAGTGAACTCGACGAAGGATGGTGCTTGAACGATTGTCAGATTTCTTATTAAAATTTTCCTTCATCTTTCCTGCTAAACATGCTTCGCAAGATTTTGATCCAATCGGAATTGATCTTTTCTTGTTAGGAACTTTTAGTCCAGTGTGTCCTGTTTTCAGAACCTTGTCAATATCTTTGATGTTAATATGGCCCATTCTTCTATGCAAAATGTCCCATTCAGTCTCTGTTTGGTGTGGCATTTGTTGCTGAACTTCTGTGGCTGATGTTGCTTGAGGTATTGATTTTGTTTTAACTTTGAAGACACCATCCTCTCCTTCTGCTTCAAACAAGATTGAGCCGTTTCGTGTTATTTGACAATGGCCATCAGCAAACTTTACATTAATGCCCCTCTTATTGAAGGCCCAGACGGACAGAAGCCGCATTTGACCAAACTCAGGAATAAACCAGACTTCTCTTAATTCAATTATTTTATCACTAGTCCTAAAAGATATATTGCCATAGCCTTCGCATTGAATAACTTTTCCATCTGCAATTTGGACAGACTTTGGACTGCTCCATCTTTTGAGCGTAGAGAAATCATCTCTCATACCACTGAAATGTTCTGACGCTCCGGAGTCGATTATTGTGAGAATTTCTCTGGGCTTGGTGAGTAATGCATGTTTTGTGACAGTTGGGAGAGCTGTTGCATTAGAATCCGGAAGCCGTATAAATTTAAGGAGATTATGAATTCCGCTGGTGATCAAGCTCTGTATATTTTTGGAATTTGTTTTATATTGTTGGATTCTACTTTTACTTGATTTTATTTTGAGTAGGGCCAGAATTTTATCCATATTTAGCTCTGAGCAAGCTGTGTGACTGTGTTCAAGATAATAAGACAGGT